ATTCATACCTGGTTTATTATTCTTGCAAGATTAACGCCTGAACCGACTTGAACCAATTATTTATTTGTAGAAAACGCACCTGAACAAACAAACATGAATTCAAAGGAAAAAGACTGATAAACAAAGGAAAAAGCAGGACTTGAAAACGCAGAAATCTGCAACAAACCTCAGTAATAAAATAATAAAAAAACTCCGAAACTACTTCTGCAACAACAATAGTTCATTTGAGAACAAACTCTGAAACCAGCGAAACATAGAAGATGTGTGAAAGTGGAACTATCTCTGAAATTAACTTTGCAACGAATTGGAACTCGCTCTACAAACTACAACTATCTTAGCTCTAATGTCTGCAATGAGTTAAAGAAAGTAATTAGAAAGAGAGAGAGGAAGAGACAGAGGGACGTATGGCATACCTAAGATTTGAAACCAAAATTAATTAATCTCATGGAGAAGATGCTTAGGAATTCCAAACATCTCTTGAGCGTGATTGGAGACGTGCTAACATTAATATATATTATATATTATAAAGTATATATTATGAAATCAAATTTTATTATATTATATATTAATATATATAATATATATTATATCTTACATATTATATATCATTTATTACATATAATAATAGAAAGTTTGATTAATTTGGTTAATCAAATTTCAAATTCTAAAAACTAAAATCGAAAATCGAATTAACCAAATATCGAAAAAACTAAACCGAAAAAAACAAAAATCGAAATATTTGGTTTGGTTTTTCGGTTTTAACAGAATGATGCTCACCCCTAATAAAAAGATATTAAAATTTAATTATCCTATCAATAATTTATGCTTGGGCTTGATGTAGATCTGAGCTATAACTAGCTAAGAAGAAAATATTTGCTTGAGCCCAATGTTGGGCTAAGTTATAAATGATCATCCCAAATTGATGACATTATGCAAATGGTTTTATTTTTATTTTTCATAATCTTTTACTTTTTATATTTATTTTTATTATCCCATTAAACTATAATTCAGTTTTTTTAATTAATGAACTACTAATTAATTCTCATTAATTTCATAACTTTTAATAATTGCTAGATAAAAACTTGCTAATTTTAATATTCTTATTAAGTTTATTAATTATAGTTATTAGGTTTCAAATCATATATAGATTGCATGTTATAAATAAAATACTTTAATAAATATAATTAATTATTATTAATATTGTAATAAAATACTATTTGTAATAAATAATGTATTTATTGAGAATATGGTTAATTAAATACTATTAATTAATAAATATTCAAATTAATTAAGTATTGTTAATTAATAAATACTATTAATTAATAAATATTGTACTTATTAAAAGACTGTTAATTATTAAATATACTGTAATTATTAATTTACTGTTAATTAATAAATAAATTATTTATTATGTAATTATTAATACTGTTTTTAATAAATATTGTATTCATATTAAAATACTATTAATTATTAAATTATTGCTAGCTATTAAAATATTGTAATTATTAAATTACTGTATTTATTTAAAATTCAGTAATTCTCTGGAAATTATCATATTTTCAGAAATATTGGTAAAACTAATTAAATATTATTTTCTGGTAATTAAATGTAATTTTTTGGTAAATAAATGTAGTTTTTTGGTAAATAAATGTAATTTTTTGCTATTTATAGCTTAAACTAGAATTACTATTAATTATAATTTAAAAATAATTACTGTTAATGATTAAAAATTCTGTTAAATAATTAATAAATACATCACTTTTTTCATTATAGTTCAGTAATGTTTGCAATAAAAAACAATTAATTTTAATTTTTAATTATTTTTAGTATTTTAATTAAGTTTTAGGGTTTTCAGAATTCCCAGATTTTTAATTAATTTTTGGTATTTTTCATTACTATTGGTAATTTTTGCATATGAGTATTTTTCAATAATCTTCAGTATTTTCAGCATTTATTTTTTCATATTAGTCACTACAAAATTAATTTGCACTTGATTTCAATAAAAATAAATTAAATAACTAAATAAATACCATAATTAATAAAAATATTGTTTATTTTCAATATTTTTCAATAATTTCTGGCTTTGGTATGTTTTTAATAATTTTTTGTATGTTTTAATAAAAAAATACTATTAAGTTTTCTTTTTAATCATTTTTAATTAAATACCCTAATTAATCTAAAATACTATTATTTTTCAATATTTTAAATTATTTTCGGTATTTTATTTATGTTTAGGTTTTTTAGAATTTTCCTAATTTTTAATTAAATGTTGGTGTTTTTTATTATTATTTAGTAATTTCTGCAATAAAATACTATTAATAAAATGGATTCTACATTTTAAATCATTTTTAATGAGTTCATTATGCATAATAAAGTTCTCTACTCATAAAAATTATTAATTAATTAAAAATTATTTATTAGTTTTAAGTAAAAGTTTAGTGTATTTTTAAATTAATGATTTTTTTGACTGTTGGTTGTCTTCCTCCTCTCGCTGGTTTTATCGACACGTTGAGACACCTAATAGATTCAGACCTCGTAAAATCAACGGTAGCCATAAGACATTGAGAATTATGCTCTCTTTCGGATTTATATATTCCATTATAATGTTGGAAATCTGCTCATAGATATTCTTGGGCTGGCCATGAATGAAAACCCTCATAATATTGGGCAAATCAACCATGGTGAGATCGGGAACACCCCTCTTTTTCACTACAAGAGTGTGAGGAGTATGGAAGATGCCCTTACTGTTGCGGACAATCTCATCGATAGCGTAGTTAATGGCTTTCGAAAGATGGGCTTCATTTCATTGGTGGCCACCTCACAATGAAGATACTCCAAGCAAATTCTCAAGGTTGGGTGCCTAGTGGTTCTGAAGAGGAATTATTAGAGGAAAACGAGTGCAAATGCCCCGGCCTCGAGGGAGGTTGGTGCCTACAAGAGACTAGACTTGCTGGAGGATTGATCTCCGACAACGACATTGAAGAGTGGTCGTATTCGGTCATTGTAAGATGAGAAAGAGCAGCAACCTTGAATTGGTCATCTTCCTCCTTAACATTTCCTAAACCAATCTTGAACATTTTATCTTTAATGGAATGAGTTGCTGGCACCATGAAAACCAGAGAAATGAGAGCCTTAGGGTGGATGGTTTTTGGGTTAGGTAGTGCATCTCAGTTCTCATACTATCACTCTGTCTTGCTTGGCATTCGGATGTAGAGGAGGAAGACGAGCAACACTGTTCAATGCCCTTTATTGATATTTTTTCAAAAAAGCTATCCCATTTCCATTTTAATTATAATATAAAAATATTATTTTTATTGATATTAAGGGCAAAAAATTGCCCTTATCTGCTATTCTCCCTATATTATTTGATTTATATTATTACTATTCCCTCTCTCTCTCTTTTAAATGTAATAACAATCTTGCATTAAAATAAGAAACCTTAGAAAATCCAAATGTCTTTCTCTCTCTAATGGTATATAGGTTTATTGATTCAATCAAAATAGACAATGATTACTTTTTTATATATTTAAAACAAAAAATAAAAAATACAAAAATAAAGAAAATAGATAAATAACTTCCCTAAAAAAAAACATACTGACATGAACTATCCAATTTTATTATATAATAATTCGGTATCATGGAATTATAATTTGTTGGTTAATATATTTGTGCAGCCTTCAGAGTATTCTAAACACGCATCTTTTTGGAAGCCGAAAATGAGAGTGTTTGTCATGTATTTTTGTTTTGTCCTTTCACTGGACACTCGAGCTTCAATTCTCGCCAAGTCGCTAGTTCTCGTTCCAGGACTTAAAAGAGTTGGCTTTGTTTATCACCAAATCACCAATACGGAGCTTAGCACTTCAGATTTCAAAAAGTTGTAGTATTTTCTGTGGCAGGCTCGAAATGATAATTCTTGTAACTGGATTCTCCGATTGTAAATAGAGTTCTTTTAACTTTTAACCAGATATTTCCTTTTTGCAACTTTTGGGTTCTGTGCCTTTTCTCATAATCTTAAATTTGTGATGGCTGCAGGAGGAAGACTAGAAAAGATTTCTGAACCCATAGAAGCGGAATGTGCAGCAGTTTGGGGAGCTCTTTATTTTGCTAGAACTCAAAAATGGCTTTCAGTTGTGATTGTGTCAGACTCTAAGGCTCAGTTTGTAAATAATACAAGTACAAATAGAAAAAAAATAATACAAAACATAAGAGTTTTACACTCTACAAATTTGCATTTGTACTCCTTCCAAACTGAGCCTAAAGTTCTTATAGATGGGTGTAATAGGAATTTAAATGGTATTGCTTGGTCTTTTTTGGTTTGGATAGACAAGATTCTGCAGTTAGTTGCTGATTTTGAGTCAGTCAAGTTTATACGTAAGAACAGGAAATTAACGGTTAGTGCTCACACTGTATCTCAGAAGGCTAAAACTTTTAAAGATGGATTAGTTTGGTGGCATAGTCCTCCGAGCAGGTTGGAACCATTTGCTTGTGTTTCTGATTTTGCTCAATCTAGTTTTACTTTCAATTATCAAATTTAAAAGAAAATCATTTGTATTGCCCAATATGGATCCATACTCACCCATGTATTGGCTGATATAAAAACCAACGAAATGGTGATGCAAATGACACAGATGCTGGACCAAGCCACCCACACCAAGTATTTATCTTCTATAAAACAGATGGAACAAACCCTACATTGTTTGAGAGGGAAGGAGTAAGACTAAGAGAGTAAGAAGATTTATTATCAAAAAGGAAAAAAATCTTACCAAGCCCAGCTCTGGATAATACTTGCCTTGTATCAGAAAGAGAGTCACACATGGTTTCTTATTCTTCAATGAAGCATCACAAATCAGTGTTTAAAATCCTTAAACAAGATCTACACTTTTTACAGAGTCATTGTCCTAACAAATAGGTTCTAAAAAGTACTCAGATTCTTTACCAAAAAAATGTACTCAGGTTGTTGTTGAAGTTGAATTGTGGTTTGTTGTGCTTCATATAAGCCATTGAAATCTCAACTTATATGAACTTAATTGGTGCAATCAAAGCAATGTATTCACAGTTATCTAATACATCTCAGACTACATTTCATGATAAATTCTGAATTACAAGGTATTCACATTGATCTAACCAGATCTTTATTTTTTATCAGTATCTAACCAGATCCAGTTCTCTTCAAATTTAAAGTTACTAGATGGATGACATACAGGCTTTTAGCAGTCTAGAAATACCATTTTCCATGTAACTTTTTTTTCATATTTACACTACCTTCTAGCTTTGCTCACATTCTGAAGTTCTTTGATGATAATGATAAAGGCAGAGCTTTACAGAAAGCCAGAAAGTAGAGTTCCTTGAAAGAGGATAATAGGGATAAAAAGAGAAACCTTTTACCAAACCTTGTCCCATATAAGTTCCTCGTAAATGTTTTCAATCAGTCAGCAATTTGAAAGGAAGCAAGTTACCTAAGTTCACAAACTCTTGATCCTTCCACAAGCACATTATTCTGAAAACCAAGGAGAAAAGAAGATCATATGTTCTTCACTGTCATTAATAAAGAACTATTGAGAGTGATCAGAAAAATAAATAAATAAAATAACTGTTTAGCTTTGATGGGGGCAAATAGAGGAGAGACAGATGAAGGAATTACAAAAGTGGACATAACCTCTTTAGCAGGTTTTTGCAAAAGATTTGAGCTTTTATGAGGGAAATATAAGGGAGGTAGCTGCCATACTTTCAAAAGGGCTAGATAACTTTTAGGTAAAAGTTCATGGATGGAGGAACCAGAGATATGCCAGAAAATATTAATATCAATCAGTATAAGACTATAAGAGTATATTGGAGGCAGAGTGCTGGAAATGTAGATATCTATCTTTCCTGGAGTTCTAGATCAGGTATATCATTATAATGGAATTTATTTAGGATTTCTGTAGAAGACAATGATCATGTATGTCAATGAGGAGAAAGTTTTTATGAAGTTTAAAATTTCACAAGAAATGAAAGGGAAGAGTAATTGAATTTATCATTGGTATGTGCAAGAGAGCTCAAGTAAAGCCTTTCTAGAAGACAGTAGAAGTGGGAAGAGCCTTATGCTAAAGTCTAGATCATTTCTTGACCCATACATGGGTTTTTTGATAGAAAGAAATTGCTGAACAATATTGTAATGCAGGGTCATATTCATATTGGAAACGCTATTGCTTCTAAATGCATGGAAAATTGATTTTTTTTATGCGATAGTATAATCTTCAAGTTGTATATTTCTGGTTTTCCATACTTTATGATTTACTTTTTATACTGCATCACACACTTAACCAAAAAGGATACGAACCATTCGTTTATGTACAATTTAAGAATTGAAACTTTATAGCCTTACGTATTCTAAGGTTGTGCATGTAATTTGTTATAATTCCTGCATTTGAATGGTTGAATTGGTTATAATAAGCTAACCATGTAGAGGTTCATATCCTATCATCTCCTAAACTTTCATCTTAGATTCTAATGCTTCCATAATGTTCCTACAATTTCTATACCCCTTACTATGTTTCTGTGAACTTTGATAAATATCACAATTTTAATCCACATCCATAAGGCCAAACTTAACCAAAATTAACACCAAAACTAGGGGATAAAGGCTTGTTTCTTGCAATAAGTAGGGAATTTGGAGGTAGATGATCTGATTATACTTTTGAATCCTCCACTTTTTACCATGGTGCACTTTGATCTTTCAACCAAATAAAGAAAATGCCTCATTTAAGGGTGTAAGTTTCTTTGGAGGATAACATTGAGCAGCTATCACCATCCCATGGCCTTGAAGGGAAACTGTTTTTCCCCTTTTTATCAGCAACAGACCAAAGTGAATTCAAGCCCCTTAAACATGAATGATTAATAGGAATAATCAGATAGTGAAAGCCACTGATTATTCATAGACTAGCACTAACATAACACCAGAACAAATACTGTCATCTCCATATTTACTGAGACAGGAGAACATGACCGTGGCACCTATAGATCAAGTCAATCTCAAACCTAAATGTGGGGGAGCCATATAAAGAACTTCCCCCATTTTGTTATTATTAAGGAGGTTGGCACACCTATTGATGGTTTGCTTATGATTTATCTAAACATCCTTGGCTCCTTGGTTATTATACATCTTATATTAACCAGGAAGAAGGCCAGGGCAAAAATTCTGGCAAAGATTGACTTAATACCATAGTTGGGAAAAAAAAGTTGGTTTGCTTTAAAAACCATTCATGTTTTTTAAACCATCAAACTGATGGTTTTTAACCAGAAATTACATGATTTATGAAACATAATAACATTATCATTAAGGGAGTTTTTGTGAAAATCTATGATTTTGTTTTTCAAAAATCAAAACAAAAGCAATTGCCACATCAGCAATAATCATAGTCTTTGCTGATGTGGCAATTGTTTTTAGGAAAAATCTATGATGCCAGAAAGACATGATACCGGAAAGGCTTTAACCAATCAAACCCCTCTGTGATTATGATGAAAACCCACTTGATTGGTTTCCATTTTTATGATGTCGGTTGATTGGTTATAAGTTTTTCCAGTATCATGTCTTTCAAGCATCATAATCGAACACTTGTTTTTTATTTTGAAAAACAAAACCATACATAAAGGCGAAATCCTTTAAATGAGCAGATGTTTTTCAAACTAGAAATTCAAGAATACGTAACATGATTTCAGTTTTAGAAACAATAAACACATTACACAACCAAGAACATGTTTTCTATATTTTTGTTTTAAGAACCAATTTATTTCCAAACCAGATGATAACTCGCAACAAGAAAAAACAATCCATGGAGAACACCCTCCCCCCACTTGTTACACCTGTATATTGACCAGTAACAAAGCAACCTGGATTTCCTAACAGTTCTACTTGATCCCTAAATATGCCAATGTCCCCACAGTATGGTAACAAATTCTTTCATTGTTTAGACTATTACTGAGTAGCAATTCACCCAAAAGTTACAGAGACTCAGAGAAGCATCAAAATATTCTTGAACAAAACTCTTTACAAAAATATTTCTAATCAGAACTCTACAAACAATGAAATAGAGAAAGAACAAATTGAAAAGGGTTATAAAGGAACCAACCTGTACCTCTTTTTCCCCCTTTTCAATTAGGATTATTGCAGAAAATACCCAGATAGGAAGAGTACAAAGAAAAAGAACAAACTGCCGTAGATGAGCAGTGTCTTCTGCCCAGAAGTGAGCGCGTTCCCACCAAGCCCAAACTGCTGATTTTGTGCAAACCCAGCAATCTCCACACTCTTGCTCTCAAAGAACGATTTCGCCGCTCCACAAGTTGGGCACCTCCAGTCATCTGGCATTCTATCGAATGGCAGTCCCGGAGGTATTGGGTAAGACGGATCACCAACTGCTTCGTCGTACCGGTACCCGCAAGACCGACACTCATAAATCCCGGTGTTCAATACAGCGAACCGCTCTTCTAGCCGTCGCTTATCAAATTTCTCTTCTTCGGGAGGGGGAGAATCAGTGGGAGCTGATGCCGACGCGGGTTCTTCCGAGATGGGCTTGTCTTCTTTGGAGACATCGATGGACTTTGAAGCGAGTTGCAGTCGTGGGGATCTTTGGAGGGACTGAATTGGGGTTTTGGAGGGTTGAAGAGAGAGAACGGCGAGATGGGGTTTTTGTGGTTGAGCATGTGAAGTGCGGAGGTGGAAAGAGAAAGTGGGTCTTGCAGTTGCAAACGCCATGGGTGGCTTTGCACTGTTCCTCTCTCACTGTATTTTCCCTCTATGCAGATTGCAGAAAATGAAATTGCAATGGAGTTAACTAAGTTCTTGTTTAGCTTGTCCTGAAGAGAAGTTGGAATGAGGGACTGGGAGAGCACAGAGGATCCACGTAAAGCATATACCTCTGAATTCTGAAATGGGGTCGGATAAATACAAGGTGGGTGTTATGCCTACTGCCTGCCTTATCCGACAGGCGACAGCGAAGAGAGAAAAAGGTGTGGACCGAGGTTTCTGAATCCTATTGGTGCTGAAATCAAACGACTCTGGGTGGAGTTCACATTTGCGTCCCACATAGCGCGCTTCACAGGCGCCCGACATGCACATCTCAGCGTGCATTGAAAACATCTTCGGTATCTGTCACTCACTGAGAGATGTTTTCAATACACGACTGGGATGTACTATGGATCGCGCTATGTGGGGGCGCCGGGTTCGGGTGGGTGTGAACGACAGGACGACTGACGAGTTCAGATCCACTACCACACATCTCAGATAGGCGGATCTCAATCTTATAATGGATCCCAGTCTATCGTATAATGTGGAGTGGATCAAGTTGGAACAGGTTTTGTTACTTCGTGTGGACAGTGACTCATGATGATTCCTAATCGGGGCGGGTTTTTTGATCGCTAATCAGGTATCGGGCAGATTTGAAAAAATCCAAAGATCTGATAACAGGGGATAAAGGGGGGATGGTATTTCATAATTGTCTATCATGCCCCAATTCCCGTCCCAAATTTGTTCCAACTAAAAGTGTGTATAATATAGTTTTAATATAATATAATATTATTTTAAATAGGTTTTAAAAAAAATAAATAAATTTATAAGGAAGAATGACCAGGATGGAATGAGGCAAATTTAGGGATCTCCATTCCCCACAGGGACGAGGATGATGTTCAGATGTTTAGTGCCACTGGGGTATGAGGCGGGGACGGGGTAGGGTATATGAATTGGGGGGTGGGGGTGGGGGTCAAGGATGGGGCATGCAAAATGCAAATTAATTTTAACAAAAAAATAATTAAGTAAATTAAGTGAATGAATTAAATAAACTAATCAAACAAAGTAAGCAAATTAAGTAAAACTGACTTAATTAACTTAGAACTAATTTATTAAATACAATAAACATTTACCATCAATTTTATTATTTTACTTTTAATTTAATTAGTTCATTAATTAACCCAAATAATTTTTATCAAATTATTGTTAATTAAATTTAATAATTATTGCTAGTTTTCTATTAATAATTAATGTTATTTATTGGAAATTAAATTTACTACTAACTTAATTAACATCATTTAATTTACTATTAAAAATGGTTGCTATTAATGTTAATTAATAGAACATTAACAAAAATCAAATTAATGGTAACATGAAGTTAATATTAATGCTAATTGATAGAAATTAGCAATTGTTGTTAATAATTACTATACTTATTACTAAATTTACTATTATCTTAAGTGTCATTTGGTAAGTCTTTTTTGAAAGATTTTCTGACAGACCTAACAACCAAAAGATGATATGAGTTTTGCATTAAGATCTTAGTCGCCTAAAGACCATTTGGTTAAGACGTGTCTTTCCATGCACCTTTCTGCACAAAGATGTGATAAATTCATTATCTTACATTAGCCCCTTGCTTAACAATGGCTTCACCCATTGTTAAGCAAAAGTTGGGTTAGGTGTTTTAACCATTGTACTCAGATATTAACCTCCGTGAAGTCACACAACGATGCTTCCAAAATTAAATATTTTGTTGATGAATTATTGTTACAAGATTAACCCCCATAATTTTGAGACAATTTAACTCTAAAAGATTTTTGAAAGATTAGACTCCAAAATTTTGAAGAATTGTGTGAAAGATTAGCCCCCAAATGTCTAAGCAACTACAGCTATAGCACTTGAAGCAATTGCAGTAACAATGGAAGTTGCAGTAACAATCATCAAAATTTTCTTCTGTTCATTCTTTGTCTCATCGATGCTTTTGTTCTGTTCATTAATGCCATTCTTCACTTCATTTTTAACTCATCAATGCTATTCTTGAGCTCATCAATGCCATTCTTCATCTTGTTGTTTCCATTCTTGAGAAACTCCAACTTTTTAATAATGAATTCTCCTCCTTCTTCATGCATTTTTTGGCTTTCTGTAGCTACCACCCCCACATGATCCACCCATTCCACAAGCTCTTTTCCTGTCACACCTTTCTCCATTACAAGAACTTCAAATGAGATAACTGATCTTGATTTTGATGATAGAAAAAAGATGAGACAAATACTCATTTTTATAGAGAGGGATGTTGTTTGAAAGTGTGACATGTAGCCCTATCTAAAAGATTATTTTAATTAATTAATTAATTGAATAAGTATTTAAATAAATGATATTTAATTCAATTTGGGTATATCAATGTTTTCAACTGGCTATTGACCTAGCGGGTTGGTTGAATAGTTCAAACTGTCAACCAACCTTGATTCCTTTGGTTCTATTGAAACTCCCTGATCAGTCAAAGCCATTTGACCCAGACGGTTCAACCATTGACCTATCCAATCCTATCACTAGGTCGTGTGTTGCACATAAAATGTATGTGCAAACTTTCAGAGGCCATAACTTTGCACTACAATGTTTGAATAATGTGTTCTTTTTTTGATTTTAGGTAATTTTTCGAGATCTATACGTCCCAAGGTGCCATTGGTTTCTTGCCTGCTATCTTTGCAAAAAAAAAAAAAACCCTTTTGCCCTCAAATTGCAAATTTTATTTTTTTTTATAAATAGATATAAAGAATTGAAGTTAAAAATATAAATCAAATATAAAATAATACATATATTATATAAAAAATATAATTATACACTATTTATTGATAAAATATGTATTTGTACATACACATGTATGCATATTACACAATTTTTATAGTCATGCTTTCTCACCATTAATTTATTTATACTATATATAAAAGTGTGGATTAAGAGTGGAATTTTTTGGACCAAAATTACCCTATATTTCTTTGTTTAAGAAATGGTATAAAAGTCATTTTATTACAGCTTTAGTGGCTACTAAAATGTCTATTTAGTGCATCTTAATTGTAAGTGTTGAAAATGTAACTTAAATTATTACTTTCCACCTCATTTAATCCCCTCTCATTAAGTCTTATACTTAAAGTATTAATTCCCATTTTCACTTATTAAATCCTATATTTAAGTTATTTTTCACTAATAAATGCTACTAATTAGATCTATGTCAATATTTTTAACAATATAAACACATATTTTAAAATTGACTCAAAACAAAACCATTATCGATAGAATTTTTAAAATATAAATAAATATAGAAAATTACAAAAATGTAGAAAAAAATATACACATTTATGATATTTTTGTTAATCAAATTAAAAAAGATAAGTGCAACAAGAATTATTTTTATTGATAAGGAAAATGAAATACATAATTTATAATTGACCAAAAATGAAATTATTTTACTATTTGGCAATACTTTTGGGTCAAATGCATTAACATTTAATACCATAAATAAATAATACAAATTAATAAAATATAAAGATACAAAAATGAAAAATACATAAATTTTTCAAAAAAACATTTAGGATCATGTATAATATTATATAATTATCATATTCAACAAAAGTAAGTGTGACATATCATAATTATTTTTACATACAAAAATACAAAAAAAATTATAGAAAAAATAGAACATATTTATAATCCTATATTTACACTACTATAAAAAATATGAATAAGATTGTGAAATTTTCTTTTGAGCTCAATTTTGAATATAGTCCCTATTTAATCTTGATGTTTAAATTGTAGATTGAACTATTATTTTTCAGCTCATTCAATTACTTCTATTTAAACCTTATATTTCTTTGATAAATGAACAAAAAAAAATATACCAAGAAGATAAGACATTACAAAAAGAAGAATCTAGCCAAGCAAGTAAGCTTGTCATTGATACTTGAAACTTTACAACTCGATTCTATAATCACATATTGGATGAGATGTTTATGTAATCAGATTTGGATTTTTCAATTTGCATCCGATTAATAATAAGTATAATGGCAGGAAATGATTCATGTAGTCGGCCCTAGATAGCTAGGGCTAAGGCTGAGATGAGTTCAGTTAAGTATTGAAAAGAATTCAATCATGATTCATGAAATTTCACGGAATTCAGATCTAAAGCTCTTATAGCTAGGCAGGAAAGCTAATAAATTTTGTATGGCGAAAATTTGGAAAGCCTACATCAACTTTTTGAGTGACTCCCACTTAAAGCTACCATGAGTAGTTTATTTAAAACTCATATTCTCAACCAATGTTTTATTTATTTATTTTATTTTTATAGCAACTCAACCAAAATGCAGAAGTCCTCCCAAATGGGGCCTTAGATAATAGTCTCAATGCCAACTGAGGGGCGGTTTAATTGGTATGTTATTTGGTTCTTCCTAGAGTTGTAAAACAAACCATGCTACCCGCAGTCCAACACGATTTTTAGCCCACTCAGCACGGTTTGGCATGACAAAATGCAGGACATATCAGGCACAACACGATTGTATGGGTCGTGCCGGGCCTAAGGTTTCAGGCCCATGGGCTGGCACGATACGACATGACCGAGCAGGCCGTGCCACCCGTGGTCTGCGTGCTGGCATGGCCCAGCCCATGGCCTGACCCATATATATAATATAATATAATATAATATAATAATATCATATTATATTATAATATATTAACTATATGATATATTAATATATATAATTTTATTATTACATATATGTTCTAGACAAAACCATGAGTACAAGTTCTAATGACCTATATCTTTTTAAGGTTGCCTTTTTCTCAGTCAAGGAAGATTTTTGTCTAGACATAACGAATTAAGCAAAAAGGTAATAGAGGGCAAGATTGAGGATTTTAGATTACACTCCACCTCAGAAATCCTAGCTCCAACATACAGTTGGAGGTAGGTGCCAGCTTCTTGGAATTGATGCCAATTCATGGGCTGATATGAATGTTATAGGTGGAACTGTTTATAATTTTGAATTGTTATAGATCTGCAGTTCAAATCAGAATTCTGAGGTGGAGTGCAGTATAAAAATCCCAAAATTGATTTTAAACCACACAAGATGTTACATGCTAACAGATATAGACAGAAAGTTAACAGATGGGAGGTTTTTCCATGATGATGTCACTTGACAGGGAAGTCTAAGTCCATTTTAAAAAATCATGGAATTTTAATTTCAGTTTTTAGGTGAAATCTCAGGGTAGGGTAGGTTTAAATCTTTTACCCCTAATAAAACGCAATAGTACTACATGTTAAACAACTCCACTATGTTTTAACTCCTATCCTCACAAATTGATAAAATTGAATTGGCATAACCAGCACTACTCAAAAATGTAGAAGAACAATTCAACTCAAAAACTTTTGGGGACAATGCCAACATTGTCCAAGTGTATCCTTTACACTTCACATAAACTATTAAAATCTGTTTTTCTTATTTATGAGCCTTGAATTTAGTCACTATGAATGAATTTGTGAAAGCAATTTCTGGAAATTAGATCTTAGAGAAAACAGTTCAGGAAACAAAGTGCAAATAAATTTGTACTGCAACCAAAAACAACCTTATATGTTTTTTTTATTAGGTGCAATACATGAGAGTATTATGGATGTGCCAGCACCGGCAGGAAACTTGTTAATTACTCCTAATTGGACTACACTGAATCGACAAACTTATTAATTACTCCGTTGTTCATTATATAGCCTTAGTTCTTTCCACATTTCATGTTAGATAGTTTTGTATGCCCTTAGTTTCAATCAGAATGATGTATTTTATGAGTTTATTGTAAATAAATAAAGATACATATTTGATTCATGTTCCCTTGGTATGTTTCTGTGTAATACCCTTAAACTGGACACTTAA